TCATGTCAGTGATTTTTCTCTCCTGAGTGTTATGATAAAGCGAGGTAGGAGGCAGATTCTCAAGGAAGAAAAAGCAACATTGTAATACCCCAGGGTCTGAAGTCCTTTTACTGTCTAACCTCTGTTTTCACAAGTAGTAACGTTGTTCTAAGCTTTGGGGAACGTAGAAGAGAGAAAGAGAGAGAAAAGAAAAGAAAAGTACAATACTATCTGTATACAGCAGTATGCAGATGATGTATTATAGATTGTGCACCGGAAACATGTAATTTTATTAACCAATGACACCCCAATGAGTTTATTTTTACAAATTGAACAGTGAGGCAGTCACTACTGATGTAGAAGAGATTTGCATTTAATTTGGGGTAACTTTTCCCGGATGTCTGTGGTTCTTAAGAATATTTAGTTTTTGGCCTGATGGGGTGGCTCAGTGGTTGAGTGTCAGTGTATCAACCAGGAGGCCACAGTTCAACTCCTGGTCAGGGCACATGCCTGGGTTGCAGGCTCGATCCCCAGTGTGGGGATGTGCAGGAGGCAATGATAATTCTCTCTCATCATTGATGTTTCATTCTCCCCCCGCCCCCCGCTCCGGGGGACCCTGAAGGCAGCAGCCTCCGGCACCGGCAAAGAGCCAGGCACTCCCTGAGAGCTTCTCTCTGCCCAGGAGGGAGGCCTCGCCCTGGTTCTCTGGGATCTATACATTGAGCTAATCCTCAAATTGCATTGGGGTCTCTGGGGGGGGGGTGGTCCATATACCATGAATAACACTTCATGTTGAAAATAATATTTGAGCCAGGCCAGTGTGGCTCAGTGGTTAAGCATCGACCTATGAACCAGGAGGTCACAGTTCGATTCCCAGTCAGTCCATCCCCAGTGTGGGGCGTGCAGGAGGCAGCCGATCCATGAGTCCCTCTCATCATTGATGTTTCCATCTCTCTCTCCCTCTCCCTTCCTCTCTGAAATCAATGAAAAATCTTTTTAAAAAAGAAAAGAATAGTTGATATCCTGGGAAATGTCTGCGTATCAGAGTTAATGGGTGTCATTTCCCTGGGGCGTGAGAGGGTGGGTAGGACTTGGAAGTTGGCCTCTTTAAGCCATTTTATGCGCCACAAAACTAGTAAGATGTGTGCCCTGGCTGAATCTGTGCCTCAAATCAAGCATCACTCGAGTGACCAGGTAGAAAACCAGTTTGTTCTAGCATCCCGGTCCCCGGTCCCTGGTCCCTCGCATCGCTTTTGAGATACGTGTGCGCGTGCCCAGTGAGAGTCACACCCTGGAATGGCTTCCCTTCGGCGAGAAAGCCAAGTGGACCTGGGCTTGCTCCATCCCCACCACACACAACCGCCTTGTTCTGTCGGAATCCACTGCAATCTCATGAAGATTAAAATGTAGACAAAGAGAAGTAACTTCCCCAGCCAGTCATCACCCAGGACCGGCACGGCGAAAAGTGTGGGACCTGCCAGGCGCCCGCCTCCCTGACCGTGGGGAGCAGCGCCGATGACAGGCACACAGATGGGCGTGGGGCGTGATTAATGGCGCTCCCGGCCTGGCGGGGAGAAAGCAGGACATGGCAGCAGACATGGAGCCTTTTGGGTTTAAGGCTCCTTCCAGGGTTTGGAGTGGAAAGGGACCCAGGAAAACCCCAGCCCCAGCCTTTGCTAGAAAAGCTGGAGGCGCCCTTTTTCCTCGCTTCGGAGTTGCCAAGACCAGACCATTCATGAAAACCATTCTAAACCCCTCATTGACTCATCAAAATCATATCCATCCATCCTTCCTTCCTTCCTTCCTTCCTTCTTCTCTCTTTTAGTTTGTTCTTTTTTATTTTTCCTTGCCTGCACTTTTTCCTTTTTCTCCCAAGCATTGTCTCACATTAGCATCCTGAGTATGAGCTGGCCCCCGACAGTGGACTGTCTGTGGTCTCAACGAGACAGATGTGCAAAGCTGGGAGTGTCCTTCCTCAGCTAGTTCCCTTGCCTGTACCCCAGCCACCTTCTATCAGGTGGGTCCCTCCTGAGCCTAATGCATCAAGAATACAGAAGTCTGGCCCTGGCCAGTTTGGCTCAGTGGATAGAGCATCGGCCTGCAGACTGAAGGGTCCCGGGTTTGATTCCAGTCCAGGGCTCGACCCCCAATAGGGGATGTGTAAGAGGCAGCCGATGGATGATTCTCTTTCATCGTTGATGTTTCTATCTCTCCCCCTCTCCCTTCCTCTCTGAAATCAATAAAAATACATTTAAAAACTACGGGAGCCTGTTTCCATTTTGCTTGTTTGTTTATTTTGTTTGCTAGAGTCCATGTATGAGTGAACTCACACGGTATCCGTCTTTCCCTGACTGACTTATTGCACAGACACTGCCGAATGCCCCCTGTCCAGCCGGGTCTGTCCTTGCGTTCTGCATTCCACCATCCAACTACATTGACTCCATCCTCATTGTCCTTGAGTCTGCTCTTCCCGTGGCCTGAACATCTCCCTCTTCTCCCTCCAAACCCTGACTTAGGTCATGACGCTCATTCATCAGGCCTCTGCTTGGATGTGCCCACCTCTGAGAAGACCTCCCCAAGTCGGAGTCCGCTGCTCCATCTCCAGTGCCGTTCTGTGGTTGTAAACAGATGAAAGAGGCGACCAAGACCAACAGGTAAGCCTGGCTTACGTCAGGAACACGCTTGTCTTGACGTCACAAAACCACCTGCTGAGTGACGGGAAGGTTCTGACCCTTATATACAACCAAAGCCCACATCACGGGAGAACCAGTACGGAGGTTGCATAGGAATCATTGCTTTATCCTTCCTAAAACTAGCAATGGTGCAATCTGTAATACAGTCTCAAGTGGGAAAAGTGTGGGACAAAGTAAAATGAGCGACATATTTTTTCAAAACATATTTTGATTGATTTCAGAGAGGGAAGGGAGAGGGAGAAAAAGATAGAAACATCAATGATGAGAGAGAATCATTGATGGGCTGCCTCCTGCACGCCCCACACTGGGGAATGAGCCCACAACCCGAGCAGGTGCCCTGATCGGGAATTGAACCCTAACTTCCTGGTTCCCAGGTGGATGCTCAACCCCTGAGCCACACTGGCTGGGTGAGAGACATTTTCTTTGGGGCTCATTTAGTCTAAGAAGGAAGATTCAAGTGGATGGAGGTGTTTCTAAACTTAACTATGGAGTCATTTTGCAGAGTTTACACTTGCCTCCTAGAATATATAAAACAGCATTAACCCTGTAACCTTTTGAATGTATACAGCATGGATACTGGCTTTGTGGTGGGCGCCTGGAACGGAAAGAGGAATAGATCGAGCCATTCGAAGGTAAGGAGAGATGACACTGGAATCTCAAGGGACCTTCTTCTCTTTAACAGTACGTTTCCCCAGAGCTTTGCACATGGACTAGCCATAGATAACACCATTTACATTTTCATTTTGAAAAAAATATATTTTTTATCAATTTCAGAGAGAGAGAGCGGGAGAGAGAGATGGAAACATGAGGGATGAGAGAGAATATTGCCCCCAATCCAGGCATGTGCCCTGACCAGGAATCAAACAGTGACCTCCTGGTTCATGGGTCGAAGCTCAACCACTGAGCCACACCGGCTGGGCTAAATTTTTATATTTTATAGAAAAATATATGGGGGTGGGGGTGGGGGTGTCTAGGCTATAAAATAAAATTTTAAAACCGTGTAAGTGACCAGTGTTTTCCAAAGAACTGGTTCAGGAAAGTCGCCCCATCCTGATGGAGGCCGTCCACAGAGGCACAGCATGGAGCAATCAGGGAGGTGCTGTATTCTCTGTGAGGGCAGGTTGAGACTACACTTAGAGACACGTGACCACAACTCTGACAACACCTAGCACATTCCAGCAGGGGCTAGAGCGTCACCAAGTGCTGTCCACGCACTTTGTTGTTTTTTTAAATGATTTTCCACTTTA